CATTACTTTGTTATTCTAATTCCCAGGATACCACAAATAAACACATTACAAGCCTCTAACCTGATGTAGTTTCATCTTTATTTTTTGTTATATTTAAGAAATAAATGCCTGTTTCAGCTCAACATATCAAAATAACATTAAGGCATTCACAGGAAAATAAAGAGGAATTGTGGAGTTTGGTATACTTCCTTCAACATGAATCCATATTTTACAATGATTGATATATTTTGGGATTCCGCTAGCACGTGATTTCTCCATAATTGAGCGAGAGGGGCCATAATTTTTGCAGCTTTGAAAGATTTCAATCCACTTAGCTTCCATAAATCTCTTCAGAAATTTCACCCCTCCATCACCTTACCACCAATCTGCCTGCATGTCAGTTCCCCCTATAACGCCCCTCCAGCTATAAACGGGTACTGTCACGCACCCCTCATGGGCGAACACAAGCCCTCCTACGAGGCCCACTGCCTTTAGAAAATGTCAAAATAATCCAGAAAATTTACAGCAACTTGGGTCAGGTATGGACAAAAATAGAGATAAAGCAAAGAAATTGAGAAAGAGACACTGGAATATTTCATTTCTCTTTGGGACACGAGAGTACTCTGGTTCCTCGAAGGCATTCAAGATCTGTTTTCATTAGTCCAAGTTTTCAAAATAGCCCACTGACTCTGATCCAGAGAAATTAGCCTGATCACAAAGAGTTTGAGCTAATTCCCAGTGAAAACACAAACAACAGTCTATATATATTTCACCCTTGCACTCTGAATATTACAAGCTCTACTTATTATCCCAAGCAAAATAAGGCTTGTGTTTGAAATAGCCCACTTTTTCACTAAATACTCAAGCTAATTTGCTTTTGAAAATGAACTTGGACTACCGGTACTCCTTGCTCTAGACTCTGGTTGAAATCGTTGAGCAAAACTTTTTTTCCCAAAAGAGCCAACTGGTCTAATTAATATCTCAACCTAAAGCTAGTTTGGTCTAATGAAAACAGGTCTCTTGTCTTTCTTGCAAGGATGAATATTTTCATGTGTATCATTGTTTTGTGAATAAGGTCAACATATTGTGAGTAAGGCCAAAATTTAAAGCTCTTGCTGATAATGCTGGAATGTCATTATCAAGTGCCCATTTTATTTTGTTTTTGCAATGTACCAAATTTCGGGGGATTTATCTCTATTTCATGATTGATCATCACCATGTGCCAACCCTTTTGACTTTAATAAGAAATCATTCAGAATCTGTAGGGAGAATGTTGGTAGATTATGGATTAGGTGCAAACCATTGCAATCAATTTTGACCGATCTCTGTGGAATTACATTTGAAACAAACAGCTTATTCTCTTTATTTCTTTTCAAAGATGATTGTACATCGATGATTCAAGAATCATGACTCAAATAAGAAAATCTGCAGACAAAAAAAAAGATTTTGCTGTAACTTAGAATGTTTCTCCAAGTTACGGGGCCTTCCAAAAAGCATATCGTCCTTTATTTCTAATAAATATTTATATATATATATATATATAAATAAATATTTTTTTTTGGTGGGGGGGGGGGGGGGGGGGGTCAAAATCATTTTTGTTCTCCATAGTTTGCTTTCATGTATCTTAGTGAGTGAATCATATCCATTCCATTTGCAAGAAAAAGTTTAGCTCAAAGTTTATAAGGGGAGATAAGTTTGCAAGCACAAACTTGAATCTAACATTTCACAAAATTTGAGACTTCAGCCAAGCCTACATCAGTCTGACCATGGTCAAAGGCACATGTGGCTATAGTCTACAAAACAGACCATGTATGACTGACAAGTCTACTTATGCCTCCGAAGCAAACAGAGATCGAGCCTAGCTCCAGATCAAACTTGGGGTACCTGACAATCAAAGTCAATGTCCAGCTTCTTGAGGTTAGTGAAAGAATGTGCCCCTGACTTACACGGTTTAGGCATTGATATCAGATACACTCACACATGTGTTTGTGTGGGAGTGATGCACAATACTGCCAGAAGGATGCCTCTTTTTTCTAGAGATGTGTACAGCAGTATAAAGTCTACAACCCTTCTTGGTATAGCCTTTATGTAATTGTAAATGTGTACTTCAAATCATAAATGTAGATTTAAAACGAGGTCATCATAATCAGTCTTCGGGGGAATCAATTATTTGTATGAGGGTTGGGGACAATTCCTCAAAAACATATGACACGGGAGAGAGAGAGAAAAAAACGGACGGGGTCCAGTTCATAGAAATTTTTTATTAGATATTTCCAATACATTCACTTCTTAACCATTCCTCTAATCCTTTTATGTATTGCCTAACTTCTCATTTCAGACACAAAATATGTCATATTCATGAATATCATTTTCATACAGAGCTGACTGAAATGTATAAGCAAAATGCTGTGTCTACACTCTAGGCCTGCACAATCTATCTACCATTCCTATTTTGCTTTTAGAGAGAGAGAGAAACTTTCGGACATATGCAGAGATGGTCTTTTCCGCAACTAGAAAGGAGGTTAGGGGTCAAAGGAGGGACAGATAAGGCAAGACAATTGTTTGACATGTGTCACAACCCTGAGTAAATCTTGGGAGCTAAAAGTGTCCACAAGTACCCCCAGTTTGTATATAGATTGGACTTGGTCTCCAAAACAAATTTTATATGACGCCATCGCAAAACAAATCCCACCGTGATCCCTTTTTTAAGGTCGAAACCATGCCGAGGCAATAATGAAGGGTGAGTAGTTATGAAGAGGAATTGAAAGTTTGAAGAAAATATCTAGTTTCATATTGAAGACATTTCCACTGGATGTCTAGAGTTTTGCACAGAGTGACCCCCTAAGACTTGAAATAGTTTCAAATTTGATTTGTCTGTCAAAAAGAAGATTCATTTTTGTGTCCTGAACAAATGTTCACATGCAACACATGAATGACAGGGCTTTTAATCTCATTTACAGGTGTATTAGACCGGATAATAGAAAACGTTTCTCAAATCGTGACTTTTCTTTCTGTAGCACCGTGAAGGTCTTGAAGCACTTGTGGGATAGATAACATGGATTACAAGGAATTTAATATCAAGGCTGCAAGGGAAATTGTGTGGAACAAATCTGAAATGAATGAGAGGGAGGATCTCCGGGTCATTAATGGTTAAATACCTTGGGAGATCGCGACTTCTGAATATACTTTAAAAATGAAATTACGAAGGCCTTTGATCTTGGTCTCTTCAAATCTCTCCAGATTTGAAAGAAAAAAAGATGAACGTGCTTGTGGATACTCGTCCTTGTCGCCACTTCTCAAACAAGGCCGCATCTTTTCATAAATTGGATACAGAAACAACAACGACGCTTGAGAGACTCTACTTAGTTTGTCTTGCGGCAGAAGGAAGTGGGCAGAGGTGATGACACAAGATGTTCACGGTTCCACAAAGTGGAATAAAGCTGGCTTGTGGTTGCAGGCTACGATCCGAGGCTACTGTAACTGATTGTAACAGCAGGGAATGATAGTTTTGGAATGTTATTCCACGATTTGATACGTTTACAGAGGCTAAGCCAACCTCTAGGCTTCTGTCTGTCTGCTACTGTCTGTAGTCTACATTGATCCGATTGGGGTTTGCGGGTCCAAAGGATGCTGTTAGGGTATGGTGACCTGAAGACGACTGATGAAGCCATATGAAACACAGAGAATGGGTTATTTGTATAAGGAGATCCTCATTGTGATGATAAATCCCATCTTTATCTCATCATAGTCTAAAGAAAATCCTTTTTAGCTAATCGAAACCGTCAGACAGTCTTTTCAATTATTGGTTACAAAACAATTTTTTTTTCCTCATGTTATGTTGAAATGTAATTATTTTGTCTGTATTTAGATATTTATATTTGTATGTACATGTATAGCACCTTTAAATTTCTGAAGGCAAATTTTATGTATTTTTTACATGACAATAAATTATCTTGAATCTTGAATCTTGAATCTCATAATACTCAGATTAAAAATCCATCCTAAACCTAAACATATGACCACTTTCCATAGGGGTTAATCTCAACTGGCTTATTAACAGCGTTCATTTCATATATGACGGCCATTTCTGAAAAGTAACATCAAAGATGTTGTAGCCCGCTTATTCTCTGGAACTTGGAAGATGATTGTCAATTTCTTCCAATAATGCTAAATCAGTCATCTTTATGCATGCCAATACAAAAAAATAGGAGCAAATTGTTCTCCTCTGCCAGGAATATATTATGCACAAGAGGTAGAGAACCATCTTCTAACAGAGATGTGCAAAACGTGACAAAATCACACAACCACCTCAGCATCGGGGCAAACTCCTCGTCTCTAAGCCATTCTCCAATTATATCATCTGATAGTGTCAGGCATACCAACACGACTGCATGGATGCAGAGGGTATACCATAAAGCCCTGTTCATACATGCATCGATAAACCACCTATAATAAAAGCAGCTGCTGACAAGTAATAACAATGTTTGAAGTATGTGTAGGAATGGCAAGTGGCAATGACAAAAAAAAGCTATGTGCAACAACCAGTTCCCTAAGCTGACTCCCTCCATTAAATTGTGTTAAAATTGTTCAGGCAAAAATTATTATTATTTACCTCTCTTTAGTAGGTTGAATAAATCTAGTCATCTGAAATTGGAGTCGTGATTTTAGCCATGCCTGCAATTAACCGAACTATGCCCGTTGCCCCGGGTAGCAGGCAATAGTTAATGACAAAAATGTCCGTTCTCTTACTATTACTATGATCAGTATTATCATTACTATTATCTTTATTAACACAGTGAAGAATTGTATTGTGTTATCTCTGGCATTATGACACTCATGGCACATTTTACTTCACCATTTTTTGTTGCTCTGTTTTAGTTCACAGCATATAAATGTATGAATGAGGCGGAGGTGAATGACGCCGTACAGACTACGCAGCTTGCTGATACGACAGCTAGCGCTAGGCAAGCAAGGAGGATCAATAATTGAGTATGATTTGGAGTGAAAGTGTCTTTACAAACCTCAAAGTGATGTTCCTCTCCCTTCTTGGCCTCTCGGTCCAGAGCCTTGCTTGCGGTGCTGATAACACCTGCAATTCACGGGAGAAAAAAAGTAGGACAAAAATATATATAAATATATAGTCAACTTCAAGTATATTGTGTTATCTGTGGTTTGAAACATATTGCTCACAAATTCTGACTACAGCATTTTTTATGATATATGGGTAAACTTAGATGGCATTTGATTGTCAAGTGGATTTGGCGCCTTAGAAATCTTATGTATTATTATTATTATAAATTCAGTTAATAAAATGAAAATGCTATTTGTTTTGATGTGGTACAATACAGCTCCTTCATGATTTTAAGTTCATTTTGTGATGTAATAACGTTTAAATGCTTTGTGTTCAAATATGAACTTTATATTATGCTTGTTTTTTCTACGACAGTGTGGAAATACAGACTGTATACATATATGTTCATACCAACATTATTATCCTGTCCTATGTTACATTCCACCGTGTAGATGTATATGTAAAAGAAGAGCATGAATACCAGTATAACAGAAGATATTGATCAAGATTAAATGAGGGGCTCTATTGATTGTGACATTCCCATATTAACTGTGTATTAGGCCTGAGTCATGTCGGGATTTTCATAAACCGGGTCCCGACGGCCTTGTACCGATCGGGACCCGGTGTCCCGAAATCAGCTCGCAGGATTTGCCACTTGCCACTATAAAAAGCGCATATCATCAGTATGTCCCTTAAAAGTGACATTTTTTATCAATTAAATAAATCAACACATGCATACCTCGGCTCAGATCGGTATATTCTTCCATTTGACATTATTTTCATCCATGATTGGCGATGTTTAGTGCCATTTTCGTACCTCTAAAAGTAAAAAAAACTGGGGCAGAAATAGAAAGACAACATTCGAGCCGCCATTTTGATTTATGCAGGTTGAATAAATCTGGTCAAAAAATATGAATGTTAGAATAATAAAACGGCTTTCTAAAAATTTCTTCTGTACAATATACCGATCATATAATATTTAAAAGACAAAATAAATATTTATCTCTTATTTTAAACATCGCATGCTTTTTTTAAAAGCTGAAAATTACTTGGTAATCAAGAGTTTCGAAACGGATAGCTGTTGCAAGGCAAGTTCAGACTAGTATCGGAAAAATGCGCAGTGCTCCTCCTAATTAGCTGTAATGCGTGCCAGAACGAACCCAAACAAAGACGTGATCGTAACGAGAAAAAAATCATTTAAAACTTCGAGAGCACAATTGGAAAGACAACTACTGCTCAAAATTACCATAGTCAGATAGATAACTTGGACAATGAATTCAATAATCGCCCAAGAAATGCCTCAGAAATTGTGATAATCGAGGAGTAACTGGGTACATTTTTATCGCAAGGGGCCTGCTGCAAATACTCGAATCCTTCGTTATACTGCTTTTTACCGTAGAGGGCGTTATTTGCCTCGATAGCCTCGTGTTCAATTTAAACACGTGTAATTCGGATATTGCAGCAGGCCCTTCCGATAACGATTGTACCTATAGTAACTCCTTAAATATCACTATTTATGTGGCTTTCCTTGGACAACTATTGTTTTCTTCCTCCAAGTTATGTATCTGCTTACGATAATTTTGAGTAGTTGTCTTTCCAATTGTGCTCTCGTAGTTTTTAATGATTTTTTTCTCGTCACGAATTACGATCACGTCTTTGTTTGGGTTCATTCTGGCACGCATTACAGCTAACGAGGAGCACTGCGCATTTTCCGAGACTAGTCTGAACTTGCCTTGCAACAGCTATCCGTATCGAAACTTCTTGTGATTACCAAGTAATTTTCAGCTTTTAAAAGAAGCATGCGGTGTTCAAAATCAAAGAAAAAATATCTATTTTGTCTTTTAAAAATTATTCGATCGGTATGTTATAAAGAAGTACTTTTTAGAAAGCCGTTTTATTATTCAAACATTAATGTTTCTTTCAACCTGATTTATTAATCCTGCCGAGAGACCCGACCAGTACAGTAGCTAGCTAGCAGCTGGTAACAACAACCCCATGGGGCGAACTGCCTTGCAACCCATATATTTATATCAACAGTTCGGATTGATTCAGGATGAGCTAGAATATGATTGGTAACAATTAAATACTTAAGTTTTAAGGTGGATTGATTTTAGTGGTGTGCAAAACTGCAATTTCTTACATATTTCGTTATTTTTTTCGGAGCGTCGGTTCTCAAAAAACGAAACCGGGACCCGACGGCAACGGTCGGGTCCCGGTGTGATCGACCGTACCGACTCAAGCCTACTGTGTATAGCACTTAAAGGACAGGGTCCTCTCTAGGGACGGTCACATTAAACTTTAATTACTTCACTCTTCAGGAGTCATTATTGATTTCGTGGATTTTTAATTAATTAATCAATCAAAAAAGGGTTTATCTCATACGGCTGTGATATAATGTGACTTTCATATTGCACATGAGTTTATTGAATCATACACAGACATCCGATTAAATAGGCTGAACACACTCCTTTTCATTTTAAAAAGATGAAAAACACCCATAACACACATAAGAAAAACTTGGAAATCCAACCCATTTTAAAACCCATTTTACAGAGAAACGTCCGGACATATCGCCAAAATATAATCCACAGTTTTGGGAAGGATTGGATGTATTGGCAATCGGACACTCGTGCAGCCTTGAATGAGAGCACACAAAATGGGCAGCTGTGTTTAAAACAGCAGGCTCACAGGATTAAAAATATAAGTCCGCATGAAACCCATCCTGTCACTACCTATAAAAATGTTGGCATTAAATCAACCTGATTACAGATATCTTCATAATATTTTTTTTGTTTTGCATTTATTCATATTACAGTTACCAGTTTATTTCAGTCTTTCAGCCAGTGGTTCTTTTGTAAGTTCATGCCCTCAGTCAAATCTGCTCACTTGTAATTTGTTGACTCATTCCATTCTCCTTTTTTGGTTTGATCATTATAATACTGGTATATATTTCAGAATGATGCCATGAAAAATCCTCTTCCTTTCTGCTTTATATTATCATAAATAAGAAATTGAGCTCATTAAATCAAGACTCACATAAAATTCAGACTATATTTTTGTCCATATAGTGATCGAACTTTGTTACAAAATACTCTAAATCCTAATCTATTCAAATAAAGTTTTCTCAGATCACCATCAGACCAATCTCTCAGCTCAGACAACCATGTCTCCAGCTAGCCTTTCAACGAACAAATAACTACCCACCGAAGGAGTAATATAAAAGACTTTAGTGGCAATAAGACTTCATATCGGATCACAATAATGTGTGTGATGAAAATGTCCAAAAAGTCCAGTTTAGTCTTGAATGGTGACAGATGATATCCGGTGTATGAGGTGATTACAACCAAATAATGAAATGCCATTTCATATTTCTACAGGAATGATATCAATCAAAGAGCTTGGTTCTTGCTCCAGTAACCACCGATACCATCGAATTAGTCTATATAGTAGTCTCTTTCACTTTTAGTCTGTTTGGATCTCAATTTCCTTCTCTCTCACTCTCCATCTTACTCTTGCTCTCTCTCTCTCTCTCTCTTCTTGCTGCCCTCTACATATTATCTAATTTTTTTCTCTATCTCTCTTCCTCTCTCTCTCTCTTCCTCTCTACATCTCCCCCTCTCTGTGTCTCTGTCCATCCTGCTCTCTTTCTCTTTTATCACAAGATCCCACAAGATTTAAATCGGTTTGTCATGATGTATCTGCAGACACAAGACTTTGTCACCCATTCGGACTGAATAATCTGCAAGCAGAATAATACATGCTATTGCTTTACAAAAAACCATTGATTCTAAAGTGGATTTAGGCAACATGGCTCAAGTCATCATAAATTTCTTCAGAGTGTCAATTTCAAGTCTGCCCTTTCAGACTACCAAGTTAGGACTGGGGGTATTTCATGGTCTGTCCGCCTGTCTGCCTAGTGGCATTGGGGTAGAAAGAAAGGAAGGGATGCATTAGACGAAGCAAGTTCAGCCCAGAAGATGGGTATCCCAGCTGCCAGAGGGATGTCATTCATTTCGGGCCACAGGGATGAAAAAATGTTAAGTAAACAGTTTTTCTGGCTACAAAGTCGCAGGATCACATTTTGGGGGGAAATATACAGAGAGGCACATTGTGCAGTGGTTTATGTACCTTTGGATTAGTACCTCCACATGAATGATATCATTTCAGTTTTAATCATGGGTGTAGGTTAACGGGAATGTTGCAAGGGCGGGGTAACGCCCAAAATGATGCCATCTGTTCAAATATTTTAGGGCCTGCAAAGTCACTTGATGAAGTTTTATAAAGAATGTTGTCTAACCATGGAACATGGGCACCGTTTCATAAAACTTGATTTCAATAACAGATGCTAAATTCTATGACAAATTTGCTCTCAGGCAATCAAATGTAGCTATTTCAGTAGCTTATAACAGTTCTTGTAACATTTTCATTGATAAAAAGTGTCACGAAACAGGGCCCTGGTGCTACCACTAGAAAAACCATGCTCCTGGCAAGACACAGTGCAAGACTGGCAGTCTACATAACCATATAGGCCTGTATCGATTACATCTCTCCTAAGTTATCAAAATTCACAGAATTATATCCTCACTCCAGGTCAAATGAATGCATCCATATTTCATATCATTAATATTACATGTCCATGTATGTTCTCTGTATCAATGCATACATAGCACAAGACTAAATCATTATTGTCTATATGAAGGTCAATATTTTGATTTTGATGGATTTATCATTGCTCGAAAAACTGGCTTTGACCTTATTTTTCAAGTTAAAGAGCTGGTTTTTGCCAGTTGTTAATTGATATTTGGCAACACACCTGCGGATATTGTCACTATTGTTGTACACTGATCTATCCTCTCTGCCAAGTTTTAACGAAGGGATTGAATCTGAGACAGCTTTCTGCTCCGGCAACAATGCAGTCCACTGTCCTAGCTCAATCAACAAAATCATGATCAAGTTCACATGACAGACAATGCGACGAGAGGGCGTATTCTAAATCTCATCTTTCCATTTGTGTATTT